GATTTGAGGCAGGAGGAAGAGTGAATGACATGAAAAGCATGAGCCTTATAGGAATGAGTCTGTCAGAAATGATGAAAAGCATTTATTCATGTCATCATTCTCCTTAATCAGTTGATCAGGTGTCCAGTTTCAGATTTTTTCTATATATCAAATATGTTGTTCACTAGCTAAAAACACTCACAAAGTAAAAAAAAAACTTTTATATTCCAAACTATTATGAACAAGCTGAAATAATCAACAAATGGTATTCACATATCAGATTCAGAAATGGAACAGACTAACACAAGGACGCTCACAATATATGCAAAAAGTTTAATTTTCCACCTTGAGCTGAACATTTCGAGTTATACAATGAGTTCGGAAACATAGCAAACCTGCACATGGCATACATCGAATACCAAGAAAAGCAAATACTTTTAACACATCATACAGCCAAACTTCAGCAATGAAAAGATTTATTTAGTCGGTCCTGCCATTTCTGAGCACAGTAGCCAAGAAAAATACAATCCCCCCAGCCTAGCTAGAATGCTTAATGTATACAGCCAATTTGTGTGCAACAAGGGAGTGTCTGTGTTTGTTCCCTGTTACTGAGAGGGCAGTAAAAAATGCTTAAAGCTATTTACATTAATGTCATACTGTATATTTGTGCATGTAACATTGTCAATTATAAACTAAACACAAGCTCTTAAATGCTCAGCAAAAAAACAAAGACATTTAGATTACAATGTACTTGCCAAGCAATTTAACAACATGCTAAAGATTGTGTATTGTCATATTTCCAGATATTTACAATCCCATATTTTGGCAAGTACAAAAGTTCCTCCAAGCACTCTGGCATGGTTTAATGCAAACTTATAAGGTTTAACCAACATTCCCTTAGTAATCCTTAAGAACCACAGGATATTAACCGCAGTCTGGCAGTTTACTTTCTTTTTATTTTTTTCTGTTTTTAATGTGTTTTATTTGAGTAAATAAGACCACAGATTCACTAGACAAAATCTAGACTCTTAACTTCTAAGGTTTAAGTAAATCATAATACACTGCCAGTGCCCTTCTGTCAACAGACAGACAACATCCTTTGTTGCATCCAGGTCAGAGATAATTATGAAGTGATAGTACATTTAGTTCAAAATTGATTACAGTGGAAAACAGAGAGAAAGACCAAGTTAGTTTTGGTATGTTTTTTGAAACAAATAGTTTTCAAACTGTTTCCAGCTGGTTACATGCATTTCCAAACCTGTAAAGGTAATCTTTTACTTAGTGAACTAACTGAAATTAATATCTCCACCTCAAAACACACTAGCTATGCTATTTGATCCACACTTATTCAAATAAATGCCCTTCTTGATCAAGCATTATCCAGCTAGGTTCATTTCTTATTAAATAACAAGTCATACTTTGTACTAACCGATTACAGAAGGATATAATTAAGGATGTGTATCAGAAAATACTAGAAGGAAGAGACAGCACAATAATATATTAGGAATACAGCTTAGTTCATACACAGACAAGTTGAAATGAATGCCAGGAATGAATCATTAATAATACTTCATTAAGCAATACTCATTGGACTGCATTTAAACCTTTTTGAGCTCTGAATATACGTGATAAGGCCCATTAAAAGTAAAAATGTCTGTAATGCTAGATCTACTTCTGAGTTGTCTTGTATTCACATGAGTCTCGGGTTAGCCACATTTAACCCATTTTATTATTTTTTTATTTTAATTTTACCAACAAGCTCCAAAATCAGATCTTTAATAAAGCTATAGCTCTCATTTTTTTTCACGCATAAATGGTCTTATAAAGTAAGAATGCTTACATAAACAAATCTGAGCAATAAAAAAGATCCTCTAGTAGTCTCCTTGTTTGGAGGCTTAATCTACACTATCATTTTAACTTATTTTGAGTATCCTCAAAATGTTTCTAATTGGCCTCAATAAAGAGCATTTAAAGTTTAAAGAGAAAATATTTTTCACTTTCAGTGGTACAGTTAAAGTTAACAGAAGGTCACAATGCAAAGTAAACCTTTTTATTTGTGCTGATCTGGATGCTTAAAAAAATGTTGGCATGGCAGTAACACAATCTTCTAGGTTTTTTTCCCACTACTATAAATGTGTTTCTCTGATAAAAATAGGTACTGAAGGCTCCACATTCAGTTGTTCAGACTTTACCAGAATGCTAAAAATAACTTATTCACAAAATCTGATTCAGGGCTAGATCATTGAAAATAGTAAATCTAAAACCCACAAACACAAAAACTGAATTATAAGTATCCACCCAAATGTATCCTAAATGACATTGAACCACAATATGAAGGATGCTTATGAGATGTAATAACTTCTAAATTACTTTAAGTATTCACAAGAAATATCGATGCCCTGAACTCCAGTAACTTCTCTTAGAAGCAGATTACCCAAATACACTGCCACAAATATGACAAAAAACAAACAAAGCTCTTTGCACAGTACTCTTACTTTTTTCAATGTGCGTCACAAACTATAATGATTGAGCAGAGAGCCTGTGGATAACAGTGTTTCCATTTCAATGCTCATGATAATTACTCAAAACAAATATTGAAACAAATTGTATCCTGTGTTAAAGTAATTCAGGGGGGTTTTGTTTGCTACTTCAACTGCTGCAGGATATCTATCTGACTGGTAAGGATGCTCTCTGCGAAGAACCTCACACATTTTCACAGGCCTCATAGCAAGACAAACTCTGTGAAGGACAATATAATTTGTAACACCCTGTGGCTGATTAAAGACAAACATAGGATGCCACTGCTTATTAAGAAAAAAAGATTTGATCAATTACAGTTTGCCATACATTTATGGTGTCTAACTAGAGAATTACATATCTAAAATAAAACAATATTATTCACATTCAATCCACAATTAAATTACATTATTGCTGAAAAACACAGAGCAACATCTCTTTGGGTTAATGAATAAGATTTCTGATTTAAATGTTTTAATACTGGATCAAAATATTTTTAGCTCGTTCACAAAAAACTCATTGGGAAAATAAGAACGTATTTGCAAATGTACACTGAAATGAACGCACACATTACTGAAAATAAATCTCAAATGACAAGGGTATAAATGAGAAAGATGGTACTAAAGAAATAAAAACACTAAAAAGACCCACTGATGTTATCTGTGAAATTCATAGTGTTACATAATCGATAAATTCCTCTTGCTTTTAGCCAGACCTTTGATATCAATGTCTGTATGCAAGATAAATCAGATCCATGAAAATCAGATAACCGAAAAAAGTACTTGGCATTAAAATGTCACGATGAAATGTGTTTAGCATCAACATAAGTTTCTAATTAGCTGGGGGCCTCTGTTTTTTAAAAGCCAAACCAGCAACTACATAAAGCAATCTGTTTTGTTCCAGAAAGC